GAAGGCCTGTTCCTCTTAGGGAATAACACTCGACATTTAATAGGTACACAGTTCAGCTGCACAGTTGTCCATTCATAGTTCAATCTATCTTTAGGTGAACTCTCTGCCTTTTTCTGTTGAGACACCCTGAAAAAGATGAACTTTCACACAAAGCTAGCTTGAACAGAGGGGTGTACTCGAGTCACGTGACTTCTTGAGTCACAGATTTGATGAGTTTAGACACAACTTGACAAAATCGAAAGAGACTTGAAACTTGATTTGTTCACTTGGACCTGACCATTTTGACTTGAAAATACTCAATACCTCCCCTAAAGCCCTTCATTTCCTGAATCAACTAATGAATCAACTATAGTGCACTTTTAAAAGCTTCATGAATAAGATTTGGAACACTTTTATGTATTAATCACTTTTTATGACCAATGATTGAACAGGTTGTGACATAACTTTAAAAATCAGTGACTGCATACCTACAGGTGTTTCTATTTAGGTATGTGGATTTGATTTTCTGCAAAATTCCACAAGATATGAAGTTTAGGCGAGCTCCTGAGTGCCTACTCAGAAAAAATACTCACATCGCATTATGCTCACATACCATTTGGTCTTTTAATTTGAAACACTCGTGCTGTTTCTGCAAATAATGCAATGTGTGTGGAACATCATGGTTCCCAGAGGGACTGTTAATGACTTTGGTGGCCTCCTGACCTTTCCTCTAGCGCCACCCTCAGGACAAACTTTAGACAGGTGTTTTCAGAGTGGAGCAACAACAGTTTCTGTTGACTTTACCAGATAAGCTTCTCTTTACTCCGACCTGTTCCCACTATGTGAAGCACCGCAAACGTCCAGAGTGAGAAACAACGTCATCACATCAGCTCTGCTGTTTCTGACACACTGCAGTGGAACTTCTCACCAGGGGGTTAAAATGGGCTGGACCTCTTCCACTGCTGGAAACTCTTCCAAAATAACCTGCTCAGAGAGAGCCTCTGCTGTGCCGCTCATTTAAAAGCAAGATCATGTGATGTTACAGTTGGTTTACTGATCATCACATTCTGGGCAGGTTTAATCCAGATGTAAGTGTCTCTAATACTAATGAAGTATCAGTTTCATACATTTACTGCATGTTCTCTGCACAGGCAGATGCGTTCACGTGAGTGACAAGAAATCCATCTGACAGTCACAAGACTTTCCTCCTTTGCTTCCTTGTTTTCTCTCTACACACTGTTGTTTGACGCTCACTTCAGATCACCTCCCTGCTTGTACAGCAGTAGCATCTTTTTTGCTTCTGGAACAATGAACAAAGAGACAGTACGAGAGATCGAGAAATATCCTGAGTTAGACTCACAATGGCAATAAAGACATTGGCTGTTGAGCCACGGGTCTGGTGATTAGCTCTTTAGAGGAGTTGAAATGGTGATGTCCACACGTGATTTTAAGCTGATATCTTATGATAGACATTTTATTTTGCACAATCAATGATTTCGTCACGCTCGAAATCTTGTCTATATTTTAAAGCTAACAAATAGTCCAAATGAAGTCTAAAGTCTAAGTTTGCAGATGACAGTCAAAGACCTGAACTGCGTCCAACCTGTTTGTGGAAGAAAGACAGAATCAAACACGACATCAGCAGGAATGCTCCAGTCAACAAAATAAGATACATGGACCTTGTAGAGAATGGTTGATATAAATGATAATAAGAGAAGCCTCAGTTGGTTCTGTACAGCCATATTCAGCCCTGTTCGTCCCACTTAGGCTGTTTGGTGCTGTTGAGCCCTGTTTAATAGAAACCAGGCTGAGGAGTTTCCACCAGAGGAATGTTTGAGGGCTGCGCTGTGGTTCATATCTGTTCTCCACCCAAACTCTCTGTTCAGCTCCACACGAGACAAACGACTTCTTCTTATTTTATGTTTTTTCATTAAACGTGTTGAATTTATTTTTAACCACATTTTGTCATCTCTCTCACATATTTCAGAGTCTTGTTTATACCAGTTGCCTTCTTATGAAGCTGTGTTTGCTCTGGTAGATATTGTGTTTTTATAAGCAGTATTAGATGTGGTAGCAGGCAGGGGTGGTGAGTCAAATTTGAGGTTCTTGTACTCAACTTCAGTAGTTTGTTTTGAGGCCACTTTCTACTTCTTCTACTTCTACTCTGCTACATCTCAGAGGGAAATATTGTACTTTACTTTACAAATTACGATTCGTAACACACAAAACATGTTGATTGACAGAAATTGAATCAGCAACTATTTTGATAATGGTTGAAGTCATTTTACATGTGAAAACCTTTGATGGTTCCAGCTTCACAATGTGAAGATTTGCTGCTTTTCCTTTGGATTATTGTAATAATTTGAATGTATTTGTAATAATTTTGAGGTTTGGGCTGTGTCACTTTGGACTCTGGGTAACTGTGACAATTTTGTGTCAAAAGTTTTACAAACCAAACAATTAATGAACTAATGGAGAAAATAACCAACAGATGAATGCATAATAAAAAATTGTAAACAAAATTGTTCAAAATGAGCTTCACCTCAACCAGCTACAACAGTAAAACCCTGCGTTTACATTATTGTATGAGTCATAATAATCCAGTGATATCACATATAAGAGTATAACAGTCACTAGAGACATATTTCTACTTTTGTCCCCAAACCAGACTTCTTAGGGACTCTCAATTTGTAAGAGTTGTTGTGAGATTGGTATTCATGTCCCAGCGTCATTCTGAGAAAGAAAGGCAAGAGTTGAATTAATCTGCAGTAGGTAACCTTTATTAAACTATCATCTTGTTATATTTGCTGAAACTTTCATTGTATCCTGACAGTAGTACATGAGACAGATAATCTGAAACTCAACAATCAACTATCTTCAGGTGTCCAACCCAAAGCATCTTTCTATCTTTCTTGGCTCTGATTGGTTGTTTTTGTTCAGGCCCGGTGGATTCTTACAAATACCATTAGGAGCACTAGGAGGAGCCAGAGGAACCTGATTTCTTTACAGATGATCTGTCTCATGTACTACTGTCAGGATATAGTGAAAGTTTCAGCAAATATAACAAAAAGTTATTTTTTATAAAAAATTACGTACTGCAGCTTTAAGTACTCAATGTTTTCAGTGTGACACATCTGTTGTTGTTGTTGGTCTGCAGTGGTTTCCAGTTGTAAACTCCTCTTAACAAAAGCAATAAATCAGGTTTATTATGTGGTAGTTTCATTAGTTTATTTTGTTTTTAAAGTAGTCACAGTTTTATACAGTTTTACAGCAGCCTCTAGAATGACTGTTGGTTGCACTATTTCACTTCTAGTGGTAGCATTATGAGTAGTAGTACTATGACAATAGCATTTAAATGTCATATAATATGTAAATGTTAGCAGTAGCTGATATAGTATAGATAAATTAAAATAAAATGTGTATCTGAATGAAAAACCTGTTAATGAATAATTGAACACACTATAATGAGTTGAGGTTTATTATAATGATCATGTTGATTATGAACATTATGAGGCTCAGCATCCTCCTGCAGTGTGTGTTGTGGCAGGCTGTGGTGAGCTGCCACGTATTGATCCTGACGTGTCCTCCTGTGGTTCTAATGTGATCAATACCCTGATCAATACAGACACACACACACACAGAGCAAAACTTCAGCTCTGCTGCACAGTCAGCTCACAGGTTTAACTCCTGAGTGTCGTTATTGTCAACACCAGACAGATTTTCTTATGTGTTTTACTTAGACTTTACTATTATGTGCTGATATCCCAATGACCTCTTCATAAAGTTATTATAATATCACACACAATATAAACTAAAGGCAACTTAAATTCAGCTTGTAGTCCCAGTTTGACCTTAAACTGGGATTAAATGCATCTAACAGACACAGGGGTTAAAGGAACACTCTGACATTGTTACAATGCTCTTGTTGTCTACACAGTCAGATGTTTCAGATGGATCTTTGTGTGTCGAGTACAGCAACAGGTCCAGGACATAGTTAGCCTTGCTTAGCGCAAAGACTGGAAACAGGGGCCAAAAAAAACCCACTAATCAACAACTCCACATCTGTCTGCTTTGCATGTTGGTTTCCTAGGTATTACGGTTGATATACACAAAGGAACTGTACATGTAACAAACATTTGTGTTTAATCTTTACAATGTGAGTCTGTTTTGGGCTCAAAACAACCAAACAGTTTAAAGTAAGCCAGTAACCCCAAATTCAGAAAAGCAGCACGATAAAAGCATCTATGTGTACAATTATCACATCAACTCTGTCTCGTTTACAATTGTTTTACAGAAAGGAAAGATGGGAAAAAAAGTGTAAAACTGAGCTACGTTTTACTCTCCTACATTTATCTGACAGCTTTAGTCACTTTACAGTTGTTTTTCCACACAGAACACATGAAAAAGATTAGTCAATTTAAAAACATTTTATGGTTCCAGCTGCACAAATGTGAATGAATTTAACTTTAAGGTTTGGAGAAAACGAGCATTGTAAAGGTGTTTCTTTGGGTTCAGGGTAATTGTGACAGGATTCCTCACTATTATCACTTTTATTTTCAGAATTTTTACAAACTAATCAATGGATTTATGGAGAAAATAATCATATGAATCCATAATCATTTGCTGTAGTCCGATACAAGTCTCCGACTCAAGTAACAATAAAATCCTGCTTTTACATTAATGCATCATAATAGTCTAATGATATTATATAGTATGACAGTCACAGGGGACGTTTTGTAGCCTACTTCTCATACTTCAAGTGCATTTTCCTGATTATAGTTACATACTTTAGTATTTTATAGCATAATATTTTTACAATGTAGTACAATGTAGGATCTGAATACTCCCTCCACCACTTAAAGTTACTTCACATTCATCCTAATTTTATATTAAATATAAAGGAATTCTGTTCCCACACTGAACACAATAACAGGACATGGACACACACACACACACACACACACACACACACACACACACACACACACACACACACAGTGCTGCAGGTAGTGACTCCTCCCCCTCCATTCTGCCGCTTTAAACACAATAACTGTCTCTTCTCCGGAGCTGTGCACAAACTGGCTCCAGGTCAGCAGAGATTTTTGCTTTTTCTCCGGTTTACAGGTCACAGGTGAGCCCCTTTCAAACCTCCATGTTGCTGTTTTTCTGTCTGCGTTTGTGCTTTGATGATGTCGGTAAATTCGAACGTAGCAACCGTTACTCTCATTCACCGGCGTTAGCTACGTTAATACTACGTTGTCGGTACCGGGTTACAGACAGACTCGGTGGTGGACGACACGCTAACGTGCTGATGAATTCGGTGTTTTTGTGGTTTCAGCGGAGCCAGAACAAACAATATTCGGTTAGAACAGATTAGTGATGCTGTTTTGTCCTCATTGTTCTCCGTGAAGTTTGCTGGAAGTGATGTAATGTAGCTACGGTGCGTTTTAACATTACGTGTATGTGGAGCGAGCCCTGCGCCGGACTCCGTTTAAAAAACAGCCTTTTAAATGGCACATTGCTTGTCAGCAAGCAGTCATATGAAAACATATAAGCTTATTTGACCTTGTGTGCTCTGATTCATTTAGCATCTAGTCAACACTCCAGTCATAGTTTGTTTTAAAACTCTACTGCTGGTATTTGGTCCTGGTCTTCTTCACCACTGTTTTGGAAGAAGGACATAACGGGAGTGAAAGTGACGTATTTTCTTCTTAAATTACCACTTTATGGTGGATGTAATTGCTGCCGTTGTGAAGAGGGGTTCGTGGGGATTTCGAAAAGTAACCGATGAATATTCCTCGGCCAGTCTACATTAGCATGTAACTTAAGAAACTTATAATCATTAAATTTGAGAATGGAATTCGGTTTGATGATAGGTGGCAGAGTGAGAACGTATAACGGGGCAAGATGCGATGGAATCCGCTTTTGGCACTAATTCTGTCACAAGTTAATCTCAGTTTATGAAGTCACTTCTAAAGAAATACAGGTAGTTACACTTTGATACTGATGAAATGACTTGTTGAGCTCATTTCCCAGAAAATCCCTCAGACATTCCTGTGTGCAGCCTGAAGCCTCCCGTTGTTGGTTAGTAATAATTGTTAGTTCTAGTGTTTCAACATGAATCATCATCCTGTAATCTAGAGTGTGAATGACCAAACAGCAGAGAGGTTGCTTTAAAATAGGGTAAAGCAACCTGTGGGTCTGGTTGTCAAGCAGCTGGCGCAGTAATGGACGCCTGCTTTTGAAATGAATGAACCTTCTCCACAGTGATGCATCACTTCTCAGGGAAGTTTAGCTGGAAGTGATGTGGTGCAGTGGAATCCAGGGAATGCAGTGTGAAATGAAATGTAGAGTTTTGCAGTGTGTGTTGGGTGACTGTGAGTGCAGCCGCTGAGTTTTAAATTAAAGGGACATTATTCAGCAGTATTCATGGGAAAATAATGTGCTGAAAGAACAGGAGGAGGAGCTCCTCCCAGCCTGGATGATTTACTGTTTATTCACCCAACTGGTGGAATGTGGGAGACTGGAAATTAGAACAATACATTCACAACAGGGGACGTGACGGTGGAGAAACAACGCAGCGTCTTTTACAAACTGGAAAAAGTTTGTGAATTTTAGGGGGGAGAAGTTTTTGAAATGGTTTGATACCTTCAAAATTCCTATCCTGAAATGAAATCAGCGTCGCTCCACCCATGAGCATGCTTTAGGTCTGTAGGGCGGTTACTGTGTGATGAAGATTTGTATCATGTTTCACCAAGGCCCCTTTATGCCTGGTCTTATCTGTATAACGACATCCGATCCGTGAGTCTTTGCTTTTATATCTGCTATTAAAATGTGTTGTCGTTATCTCAGTTGTCGGGTTTTAAATGTCTCTACATAAATAAGTCTGAGTTTAGCTAAATCTGTCTGAATGAGCTCCTAAAGACTTTGCTGCTTGCTCTGTGGTGTTTACTTTTCTGTTTTGTTGTCTTCTTTTCATTAGGCAGACAAGGTGCTACAATGGCGTATTGCTGCCATACTGTTGAGTCATATTTGACAGTTATTTATATTTTTATATAGTCCAGTACTGTACAGATCAGTTTCTTCATTTTAGTCCTGTTATTGAGTGAAGTGTGCAGAGTAAAAACAGAACAGTTTCTCGAGCTGCTCCCAGGTTTTTGAAAAGCTTCTTGCTTTGAAATGAGTAATTTCATGTAATATGTCATGTCATATTCTTTTTGATAAAAATGGATTTTAGAAATTTGGTATCAAAGTATCTTTCAGGATCTGGTATTGGTACCAGTATTGAAAATGATGCCTGGCCCTAAACATCATAGTGATAGTGAATTGAATATGTTTGGCTTTTGAGCTGTTCGGATGCTGGTCGAACACAAAATCACTCCGTTTGAAGGAAATTATGATTGACATTTTTCACTGTTTCCTATTGTTTTATAGATCACATGATTATCAGAAAACTAACAATCCTTAGTTAGTTGCAAATTGACTCAACATTAATTAAACGTTCATGGTTGGCTGGTTAAACCTTCAGTCTCCTCTTACTAATGCAACTGAATTCAGCACATTGTTGTTCTTAAAGGCATATTTGTCTGTTTCCGTTTGAGTATGACATTGGATCCCGGCGGATGGCTGATAAACACTGTGTTAACCAGCGGTCATTCCCAAGCTGCTGTGCTGTGAATCAAATCACTGTTTCATGATGGTGAATGACTTTGTCTGAAAAAAATAAACTGAAATTCAGATTAATGACAGCAGCTATGTTGTGACATTTAAAATTTGTGATCATGAAGAAAAATGTCATATTAAAGCATCTGCTACCACTAGGGATGTCCCGATCAAGTTTTTTTGCTCCTGATCTCGATCAGATAATTTATATTGAGTGAATATTGAATATTGAGTATCTGCCAATACCGAGTCCTGCACTCGCTTTGCTTTGCAAGTATAAACAGCTGTGTTACAGCTGACATAAAACAGAGGATCAGATCAGGCTTTAGCAATCAGTTAAAAAATGCTGTAACTGTTGTTACTACATCTAAATGAGCTGCAAATGTGTTCAGCATGCTTGTGACATTCCAATAAAATGTTGGTAAAACAACTTTATATTAGAAATATAACTGCAGCCGTACAGTGGACACTGTTCAATGGAGCACTGGAGCGTGATTTATTTATTTCCTAATCAAAGGTTGAAGTGTTGAATAACTTAGCACTAACCAGGGCTTAAGTGAAAGGGCAGTTCTTCAAGGTTTGCTGCATCTGTTTTGGTGTTGTGAGTATGTTTGAGAGGTTTTTCTCACTTAAATCTGTCTCTACTTCAGCATAAGATTCATCAGAAGAAGGCTTTCTCCTTATGCCTCCAATCATTGTAGTTTCAGCCTGAAGCAGAGTTCATCCTGTTGGTGTGAAACACCAGACTGTCTTAACAGTCACAGCTTTGAGCCCCGAGTTCAGACCAGAGCTGAAGTGTCCTTGACTGAAACAGTGCAGCTTGAGACATCGACTTGTCTGAGAGTCTCAGAGGGAGACGACAAGAAGCTAATTCCTCTTTTCACTGGGTGGAATTAAGTGATTGAAGTGCTCCACATTCCCAAATTCTCTGAGTTATTTTGGTGCTGTTGCAGCTCTGAAGGATGGCTGTATATTCATGAGCTCTCCTTTTAGTCATTAGGCCCCAAATCTTCCCCCAGACCTACTGCCAACGAGGTCAGCAGCAAGAACAGCGTCAGTTCCTGCGCCCAGAAAGCTTCTTAGAAAATATCTGACTTAGTGATTCTCTCCAGAGTTTCATAGAAAAAACTGAGATGCACAGATTTAACTTAAGTCGACACACCCTCAAACATAAAGTTTTTATCTTTTAGTGCATGTCCTGGCTGCAGAGAGTTCCTGACGTCCTTATTATCACCTAATTTTCTCCTAAACTGAATTTTCCTCTTCTCTTCATCCGCCATCTTCATCCTCCTCCACCTTCTCTTTCGGGAATCATCCACTGTCACCTCATAATATTGAGTGTTTTCTCCCACTGTCTCACACATTTCATTTTTAGAGATATTGATGTTGGAATAAACTGATGTTCACCGGAGGCTGTACAGCGGATAATGTAAGGGAGCTGACGTGATTAGCTGATGAATCAGTTACTCGAACGATAGAAACATCAACAACTATTTTGTCCGTAATGCCCCTTCCAAAATGAATTACCTACAATGCCAGGTTTGGTTTGATTTCGGAAGTGGACATTAACAGTAGAGCAAGATTTCTCCCACTCCCACAAATATATTACACAGAGACGGTTCAGAAAGTTAACATTGTGAGCATCTTTCCTCTCAACCAACCGATAAATTAAACTGATGAATTATTGGTCCTTTTAATAATAACTTATTTGGGATTCTCATGCAAAACATTTAATAGGCTTTATCTTCTATGCAAGCCAAAGTATGTTAGAAGTTTTTTGATGAACTAGATTGTTTTTGTTACAACAACAATAGTGATGTCAGAACTGGTTCGGTCAGAGCTATGGGATATTAAATCATCCATGTTTGCTCACTGCATCTTAGCCTGTATTTTTAAAATACAAAAATGTGAAATTATCCTAGTTATTAGTTATTCTGTTGGCAACGACCACGAGAACCAGGTCATCCCTTGTAAGTATTGTAACTAAATTTACTTAAAGTAGTCGTTGTGCAGTAAAATTGTCCCTGTTTTTATATATATATATATATATATATATATATATATATATGCCCTAGAAATGACTTAATTCCAGGTCTCGTATTTTTTAGTAGCCCAAAATGGACAAAACCAAACAGTGACTTGGATAGAATGTTTTACGCGCCTACTGTAGTTTCTCCTACACACTTCATAGCCCATTCTCATTCCCAGGTGGTCAAATATGGACGCAAACTGTGTTCAGTTGGTTGCAGTGTGCAAATTCACCGCTAGCTGCCACTAAATCCTACACACTGGTCATTTTAATTACAAGTTGGAGGTGTAGTGGTGGTGACTTTGAAGTCCTGCAACTGTGGTATAGTTTGTAGGCTAATGTTGGTTCCTTTTCTCTGGTGATTTTCATTTATGCTAAAAAAAATCATAAAAGTGGTTTTACAAAGATTATCTTGCTGAACAAAACGTGTCATAATACAT